CATCGAAAGGCGCGATTTTTATATAAACAGGTTATTTTAACACGTTATCTTCACGTGAGAAGATGTAATTTTTTTTGCGCGAAAGCTCACTAGGTACTGTGTGTTCATATAGTAATTTAAGTTTCAGCTACCTGTGAAAGCAGCTTGTAAAGTGGTATTAAAACCAGGTGCATAGTCATAAGGAGATTCCTATTTGCTCCCAAAAAAACCTACTCCCGACACCAACTGGAACGAGGTAGAGACCACAAAAACAAGTTCAAAGGAATCGATTGCTGGGATCACATCAGAAGAAATTTGTACTGAATGCGGCTGAAAGTGAAACAAACAAAATTAATATTAGAACAGTCGGACTGGCTTTAATGCCCTCCACCTTGAAGTGCACTCATAGTTGAAACGTACCCACTGAATCTCGCTCAAAAATTGTGCTTAATATACAGACACATTACTAAGGACAGCTTTTGTTCATTTTCCAATTTATATCCTAATTCTTCGCAGCTGTTTAACAAGCTCTGGTAACTTATTATGACGAATTTACCTTCTTTTTTCTTTCAACTCCTACGATGTTGATATCTTCCAAATTAGCTGCACCTGAGAATTAAAATAAAATAGTTCTTGAAAAGCTAGTTGAATTTATAAAGGGGTACGTTTCTAAAGAAACGGTGGTGCTGCGTCGGTGAGAGAGTATAACAAGGTAATTTAGTATAATTATTAACGATAACGTAAATTGGTCGCCGTAAAGAGTTTCAAATCTGACGTTTTGAGCAATAGCCCGAAACGCCAGGGCAGAGGGCAGAGTCAGGGCAGAGTCAGGACAGAGGAACACGGAGAGTCGGAATGTTAATTACCAAACTACGCTCCGATTGAATGCTACTTGAAAGGTCAGTCAAAGATAATTCAAGCATATTGCGTTAAGTGCAAACTTCCGCTCCGCAGTGTTCCTCTTCTCTGTCCAAAGTTCTTAGTTTCTTGCACACCAGCTCACCATTACACAAACTCACGACTTTCTCCAGAGTTTCTCGTTCCTTGCACACCTTGCACACCGCTTCTTTGCGCTCTTATACCCTCTCGCTTTTTTTTTTTTCTCCCAAGGGTATCTCTCGACAAAAAAAAAAAACCTACGTAAGCGGCGACTACCTAAGCGCCACGTAAGCAATCTCATGATGTATTCGCATCACGCTTAACTGCGTAAAAAGTTTGACGCATAACTGTGTTACTCGACGAAACGTTCTAGAAAGTTTCCCGACACTGCGGTCAGCATTACTAAACAGTATGGATATCATTTACAAAAACAGTAGTACTCATTAACACCGGGGATGCCAATTACTCATAACACTTGGCATCGAGTTAGTTTGAGATTCATTAAGAGATCTTACGTTTACATCAAACAGATCATGAAGAGCACGATTTCCCCTCAATTGTATCACTTGTGGATGTGGATTTTTACTGACTTTAAGCAATCAATAAAGCAATCAAACTGCACTCTCCTGTTTAGAGCTCGGTGATAAGAGCTGCTTACTTGTAAATCTTACTAGGGATGCAACTGACCCAGAATCAGCTAATGGTAAAACCCCAGCTCTAAATGTCCGATGGGGAACTACACAACAACGAAGTAAGTGTAGCAGGCAGTTTTTAAATTCTGGAATTCTTAGTGGATAAATGATTACGTTTACGAGCGAATTGCTATATTAAAAAAACCCTGATAATGAATACCGTTGTATTCATTATCAGAGTTTATGAGAAAAGTTTGCAGTCACTTGCGATTGTACCAAAAGATTAAGAATCTGGAATGGACGCCAGGTAAAAACAGAAGCTCCTGTTATCCAAAATAATGTGTTTGCAATATGGCCTCTCTGATGACATTGTTATGGTTACATATTAGTGATTTTTGCTTCCTCCAAATAACATAATACGCTGCACGCATAACTAATAGAGGTGCTGCAGGAAACAAAACTAGAAGGTAGATTACGCTGTCATCACTTGTAATGAAGTTTGCACAAATGTAAACTGTTACAATGAATATTACTGCTATGATCCACGGTAGGGATTCCATGCGATTCTTCGATCTAAGCTGCCTTTATAGATAAAAAATAATGTTTGCAGTGTATTTTCATTTAAAAACAAAACAAAAATAGTGTAGTAATAGCAAACGAAAATTAAAACTTGAACCTGTCTTGTTATAAAGTTTCGAAAGATGATCAAGTAGTTTTTCCAAAAACTTGTATATTATACTCTCTCGTAATCTATGCGTGATAAATGATTCGGGCCTCTTCAATTATCACACCTCGCGCTCAAAATCTGATTTATTTATTTTTCAATTATTTGATTATCTATTTTCGATATTTATACGGGGTGGCCCAGTTCAACTGGTTTAAATGGATGTCTGTATAAACAAGAACAAGGCCAAATCGCATCATCAGAAACTATGTTCCCAACTATTTGCGAAACAGAAGGTGGATGATTCAACGTCCCCTACAAGCCAGTGCAGAAAAAATGAGGACGGGGCCGACGGTTTATCGCCATTATCCGAGAAGACTCGAATGTCTATCGTTTGCAGATGTCACAGCAAAGGCAGCATATTTTTCTCGGTTATTTTAAAAGTGTTGTTCCGGTCTGGGGCTTGAACCCTCGGTCTCCCGCAAGGCATTATGGTATTTTAAAACACGAGGTCAAAGTGTAGTGTAAAGGGAGATACACATGGACTAAATTTCACCTGAACGATTATTCTTAGTTTTATTTGACTGGTTGCACTTCAAGGGACCATGGATACAGGTGGAGAACTATATACAAACAGGCCGTTGAGACTCAGTAAAGGATATGGCTAATACCGCTTAACACAGGTCAAATTACATTAAATAAGGGAAAAAAAAAAAGACTCGGATCTTTTAAAACCGACCTCTTCATACAGGGTGACCGCTTAATACGGTTAATACAGGATTGACTGAATGTTGTAATGATTTATTCTTGTTTTCTCTTCACCATATTCCCAACCAATAGCGTAACTCCATTTTCTGCATAAAAACACACACACAACCCACAATTCCTCCAATCGCTCTGACGAAGGGCTAACGCCCGAAACGTCAGCTTTTAAGAGCCATAGTCTATGTTTCGAACTTTAAACAAAAATCGCGGCCACTTGACCTGACTGATTTGGCTGAAATTTGGCATGAAGGCTAATTTTTAGGCCCTAACCACGAAATGGTTATTAAAAAGTTCCAGTTGTTTTCGCTTGGCAAAAAATCGATAAAGCCGACCAAGTCCGCCTATACTTGCCCGCCAGCATGGCGTATCGAAGGTGTTCTTATGACTTCGATTCCAGTCCTGTCGTAAAGATTACCTGAAATATCTTGAAATAAATAAAGAGATATACCCTTTTTCTTAACATTTACTGGAAAAAATGTGGGAGATGACAGATTTTGATTACAGGTTATCTCAACGTTCGACGGTCGTTTTGCGCCGCCTTAAACAGTAAAAAATGAAAATATACCCCAATTTGTTAGCCTGATATCTCCAATGTTACCTCGATCCAGAAGTTGCCATTTATTTGGAACAATATTTGTTTATGGATGAGTTGATTGCTTTAATTAAAAAATGGGGAAATTTAAAGGTCAAAAAAGGAAAGTTATTAATCTATGATGAGTTAGCTATATTTGGGACCAGCTCCTAAATCAGCTTACCGGTCGGAAATAAAGTCCACTACTTATTTCGTCCAGAATGAGAGCAAATTCCAAATTTAATTGATCTAGGTGATGAAATAATTTGAAGGGTAATCTGGAATGAATAACTATGATTAGGGCTCTAAAAGAAAGAAAAAAAGAGGAAACTTGCCCACGCCCTAGGGGTTATGTATTTTGTAGCCTTTAAAAAATTAATTGGAGCTAATTTGTCCCAAATAAATTTCACGAGTAATATCTATGGCTTCAACTTACTTTCTATCAGCCAATGAACATTCTGATTCTTTTTGCATAAAACAATAATTGTTCTTCTTCACAGTAAAGCACGAAAATTTTCGTAATTTTTGTTAATTAACCTAAGCTCAAGGTGTCGATCTTTTTCTCATTCGAGCTCTTTCACACTGCAACCAAATGTAATACATCATGGTGATGACTGAAATCTAGGAAAGACTAGTTAAGATGATCATTCCATTTCTGGAAATAACTGGCACCTTTGTTGAATTGCTATCCATATTCTTTGTGCTAATTTTGAGGTCAATTCGAAAGGAGATTGCATTAGGAAATTGAGGACCTTTTTAAATTGTGGAACTTCGATTTCTTATTTTGACCTTGGACTTACTCAAGAATCATAGATGTTTAACCAAGAAAAAGTTTTAAAAATGATTCATGTGAACTTAGTAGTTGCCCTTTTTTGGATACAAACACGTCCTATATATTTTTTAATGTTTCCGTTGATCTACCTTTCAGATTTTACGGCATGAAGTTTGATCACATGACTAGCTAATCCCAAAAAAACGTTGTTGCGTAAGCAGCTACTTGCAACGTTGAAATTAAGTAATGGCAATACACCTGCCGTTTTATTGGTGCAGCACCAACATAATCTCCAGAACTCATTTCTAAAGCAACGCTTCGATCTTTTTTTAGCTGAAAATACATACAGTATCAACACCAAGAGGGAATGGAACGAGATGAGTTCGGTCACGTGGAAAATACCATTTCATTCGACGTGCGAAAAGGAAATGGTAAGTAAAGGAAATGTTGATTCGGCCAATTTAAGGATCTGTACGCTGTTAAACTTTAATTTTTCTCATAAATAGCGCATGCGATGAAATTTTTCTTTACCAGTTCATACACAATAATGAAAGTATGAGGTTGTGTGGAAGAGTTGTTAAAACTCGGCAGATTACTTTTGAATTTGAATCAAAGAAGAATCCCTCATTCCTTCCTTCCTTTCAACCTCACTCCTTGCGTTTTCGTGAATTTAATATAAAAGTAAATAGTATTAAAAGTAAAAACAACAGAAATAATGATCGAAATACACAATCTTTGACTCCTTCTTTACTTTTTAAAAGAATACCACGACATAAAATATTGAGTCATTCGAGAAGGTCTTGAGGGTCGAATTTTCATGGAACGAAGTTATGCCCTGTGGAAAAAACAAAAGAATAATGTGAGCCTCTCTAGGTCTTATTTGATTTCCTCAAAAAAATATATGCATTAAATAAACAGTTTCATCCATGGAAAAAAAGTTCGAGCCTTACTCCTGCAGCCCCGTTTGCCACAAAATCTAATCGACCAAAAGGGGTAAATAAAAGATGGACAATCCAACAGTCACTGATTCCGTGAGACATACCTTGTTCACCTTTTCTTTTCCAGTAAATTTCGGCCAGTAAGGTCAGGAAAGCAACCACCATTCCAACAAACAGGACCAAGTACACACCCAACATACTATTTAGACCAATTTGCTTGCGAGACAACGCTACGAAATGGAAGAAAGACACGGTTTGCTCGAAACTGTATAAAGGTATAGTACACCTCCATCCATATGCCTAAGGATTTACCGATTCCTTGACATAAAAACTTGATGTGCAGCAATGTTGTGGTTTTTGTTGCGAGGTATCGATTCTGTACGTGAACCATTTACAACTGAAGGGCTCAAACCACTTTAAGAGAATCCTGTTCGATAACACTAAAGACTATCTTCTTGTGCTAATTTGTGAAGTCAATCAATTTGGCGAAACTTTCCTCTTTGATTAGGATGGAGATTACAATTAAATGAACCACATTTTGGAAATTGAGGACCTTCATTAAATGTTAAAATGATTGTTGTCCACCTAATTCAATGCTATAACGAAACTAGCAGAGACAAGCAGAAGAGGAGTTTTGGACCACAATTACTGGAAACTCCAGTGGGAAACGAAAGTCTTATCAAACTGACATATCGTACATGTTTCTTCTTTAACTGAGCAGCTACTTTTGCTCTCCCACCATTTCCGTTCCAAGCTGGCAAGGAAATCGTTTTCGTGTAAACGCAATATGGTCAGACTGAAGTTATGCACATGAGGATCGTTGTCGTGGAAGGCCAGTGCATATCCTTTAGCTGTGCCTAAACCTGGTACTGAGGGGAAAAATCAGATGCTTTTACAAGTGATATAGCTGCAATGAGTTAAATAAATGTATTGGGTCTGATGTGAAGAATTTTTTGTCAGGCCAATCAGAGTAAAAAGTTATAGGCGGAAGATTGTTTGAAATCATAAAATCCCTCGCACAATGTTTTGGTGCGGCTAATTTTTGTTTCATTAACCATTTTTAGTGTTGATTTTGTGGTCATTTACAAACAGTAACTTAAAATCAACTTCAGATATAGAATGGCACAGGAATTATTACCAAACGTACTCACAAAGTCTCTATAAAACTGCCGACTGTTAATTCAGTATTTACCTACTTCCAGGTCACACGGTGGCTTGCTAACAATCTTCCTTAGATAAGGCCCGTCAGTTATCAGAGCGAAGTCTTCTTTTTCTCTCACCCATTGAACACCCTGTGCAATGGTTTGAACCAGTGTTCCGTCCAATTCAATTTTACGCCAGATCTTTTTGTATGTTTCGTAGTCACTAGTCTTGAAAAACTCTGACGTACTGGATGAGCTAAGCACTGATATAGAGTAAGATGATTCCGTGAGTTCTCCAAGGTTATTAATGGGATGCACTGCGTTCTTCACCGTAAAAAATGCTGCCAGATTAGCAGTGTATGTTGAGATACAGATCAGTACGCAGAACCAGTAGCAACCAGTAAGTATGCGGCCTAGGAAATATTTGAGGTAAAATTGTTAGGCTTCGATTATAATGTGTGGATTTTAGGAAGGCACTGGTTTAAACCATTGTGTAATTTATGGATTTCGAACCAGTCTGCCTCACTCTACCGCTTCTCTTATAGAGGTATATAGACAATACGAAAATCTTTTCTAGCCTTTGCTTAGGCACTGTGGCCAGGGTACATAAAAAAAAAATACAGGTAATTTTAAAGTGACGAAACAGTGATAGGTAGAGCGAGAATACCATCACTTCTCAGTTATCACTTGGGTATCTGATTAATTTCTACTCCACCTGATAGGCTTTTTGGTGTGTTATCTCCTCCCTGTTGTAGCATACAAGCTAAAGCAAACCACACACTGTTGAAAAAGCTGAATTCCTTTGATGTCCCTCTTCCATTATCATCTTTATATCCATAAGGACTGTAGTAGTTTATTACAAACACAGCAACAGAGCTGATAACCAAGGTGGCTAAATTAGCGAACCAAACTTGATTATCAAACGGATTCATGAACTGCAAAAGTTCGTATTTGTCTTCGGACGATGCTTTCTTCAGCAATATATCTGATGTGTAGTGCATAAAGGGGACACTGAAATCCACGACCTCCTCTCGCCTTTCAGTAATAGTGAGGGCGGTAAGGGCCATATCTGCTCGCTTTTAGGTAATAAAAGAACAGCCTATTAATTTGATTTATATTACTGTATTTATAGTTGTATCTCTCTCCCAATGAAACTCCATAGCTCGCAAAGATCGTTTTTCAGATTTAAATCTTTGTATTCTGTGTAATATCGCACCCACATTTACGTAAAATAATACAGTAAGGTTTTCAGCAGGAAAATTTCAATCAAAAGGCCAATATATTGTTGTTATAGCAGGTCCAAATCAACAGTTGCTGCCATAACCCTGCTTGAGTGCATGGATGTAATTGGTTGAGGCGAATTGTCAGGAAATCGGACCGATTTCTTTCCTACCCAGAGTTTGTTGTTCAGCTTTGTAGACCTTACCAAGGACAATTTTCGATACCATTTCACTTAAGCCTTTCAATTTCTGATTTTGGCTAGTGTGTTTGCTTTCCGATGATATGACCTTTCAGAGAAGTTAATTTGATGAGAAATTCTTGAGCATACCTCGTTTACAATCTCACCAATAACCCCATTCCAAGTTCCATCCTCCATTTCAGCGCCATATTTCCCGTCAGGCGCGGTGTAGATCTCATAGGTAAATTTGAGATTTCTTGCAAGCTCATTAAGAAAATCAATGCAGTATCCTTCATAAAATAATCCGCCATCTTCCTTTCTCCTTTCCTCAACGTAGGGACTTTCCTGATGGCAAAACAATTGACCCTTAACTCCCAGGAGTGATCAAAATCTAACTTCTCCCTGCAATATTTATACGTTATCCAGCAAACAAGTAATGAGAACACTGAAACACATCAAATAGAAGTTGTTGTCTTTATCTAACACCAAATTCTTGTAATTAATTTAAAAGGAAATAGGTAATAGCTGGAGGGGAGAATTGACCATCAGATCACCATCAGACCTGGTACTTAAAGAGTTAAACGATAATCGTTTTTGAATTGGTAACGCAACTTGTTGCGGATGATGATGAAAATTCAATTACATTATCATAATAATAATTAGGCTTTAAATCGACGCGTTTTCAAGGCGAATAGACTGCCTATCTGGATTATAAGTTTGTGTGGTTTAATTTGTTTTCTGTTTGAACACCTTAATCTTTCCAAGGGACCTCAAGAAAAGATCTTTTTTAGCCTCCCTCTGGTACAACGAAGTGTTATCCGCTTTAATTCAGAAGGAATGGAAATTCATAACAATACGTGACGAGCAATATGAAGACACTTTTTGTGGTACAAAAAATACTTGAATAAATAAACAATCTCAAGAAACACAGACGGAAAATGAAAAAAATTAATAAATATTTCGAGTTAAAGAAATACCCTCCATCTCCCTCTGATACAGTCAATTTTGCAAGCCATCGATTTTCCACCTTATTCAAAGGAAGCTTGTTCATAAAGAATGCCAAATACTTACGCACCCATGAAAATCATGGACTATAATTTTGAGTATTTATGGGCAAATTTTGGCCATTATAGTAAACTATTCCTTGACTAATCCCTCATAGGTACAGATATCTGAGTTTGAGGCTCATTACCAATAAGACAACGACTCGAAGCTTTCTTTCCTCCAAAGTTTTTTTTGATGAAGGGCTATCCATGTTGCGTTTGATGTTCCCAGTCATAACAGCGCCTTTGGTTGAATTCCACGTACCAACCTACAAAATAGATTTTGCTTTATAATGTCACCTACTTTGAATAGGATGTTCAATGTTCTGGAGTACGGTAGGTGTAGATAAATACCACACGTTGGACATGTATTTAGATGTAAAGATGCGTAACCAGGTCCGGAAGTGAAATACTTAGCTAAAAGTAACATTGCACAAGCAAAAAACAGCAAACATGGCTGAGATAGTTGAAATCAACTAACAACCAGGATTATGAAACCATTTTATAATTATGAAACCATAATGAAACCAGAACGCATTCGGGCGAGTAATAAATGGCTACTAGCGTTACGAAATTCTTACATAACTTCACGCAAAAGCATTTCAATAGTTGCACAGTAGAGTAAAAAACAAAATGAATTATTTCGCAGTTTCTTGACAATAAATAGAAATGCAAATTCTAGCTGCTACAGTAGCTTTCCTGAGAATTGAAGGATTAATAAATCGAAACACTGATGAAGTTAAGTGGTAAGGTAGATAAAAGACACCCACCCTCTTAAAGTAATTGTTTTGAAGATTTAAGATTTCCAGTTCAATTCTTTCCCGCTCCCCACGCTCAGTAAATTGAAGAAGTCCAGTCATACCACAAAGAACAACCTGTTTCATTCGGAGAAATGTGAACATGATTCAGCTTTACGCACGCATTTGGTTTAGGGTAATAAGATTCTTAGATTTCATTTTCAACCTGAAATGAAAATAAGCGCCAAAATTGCAACTACCAAGAAGAGGTCTAAGCACCCAGATTTAAAGAAGAACTTTTCAAAAAGAGTTCTTTTACTCTCTAGTGGATATAATTTGAGAATTAAATGAGAATGATTACGGAAGAAAAATATGCTCACCTTTCTCATGCATGTTAACATTGTGTTCCTATCTTCCAGACGAATGTCAGACCCATTTATCGACGAACAAGACTCCGTGTTCACTGCTTCCTGGATGATACGGACAGCGTCATGACTGACGGCAACTAATTCCTGAGGTAATGACAAAAATAAATGTCCTTAGAATATCACAGTGAAAGGATAAGGATAGTGCTTCACTCTTACGTCGAGACATTATAATGCTACTTCCAAATATGAGATCGTTGTCCAGAAAACTGATAATTACTTAGAGTATGCGGTTTAACCTTGACACTTGCAGTTAATAATAGAGTCCGATAAAGAAAGAGAAGTTTTGAAATGGTCTGTTGCTGGTAACAGTGACAGCAAACTATACGGAAGACATTATGGCTTTAACAGCAATTGTCTTAAAGAGTGTGGTTCTGAATTGATTAGATACCTTTGCATCTCAGTCAGAAGGAAATAGAAGCGTGGCAGCGAAATAGCGCAGGGAAAACCAAACAAACAAATAAAAACAAAAAACATAAATCTTTCCTAAACAAGAAAGCTTACCTTGTTAATAAAATCTGAAAAATTGTCTCCAACAACATGTTTCATTTCATCTACGAGTGAAGCCTCAGCATGCGGTAATTTTAAAGCTATCACCACATTTTGGTACCAGGTGAAATTCAAGGGAATCTGTCGAAGTAATGAATTAAGTACTGAACGTAGTTCGCTAATGAAGGCTAGTATCTCCCACGCAGCTTCTAAATTTAGTGGAAATACTGTCTAGGTGAATTCCCGAGTTGTCATTGCTAACTGTAGTAGGCTGCAGGCCTTGGAATATTATGGGCGAGAGAAGTTGGATTAGCTATACTGTCCAAATCGATTTTCGGTCTACCCGTCAGCCATGTGAACTTTTGTCAGTAATAATGGTTTGATGGTAAAATTGAAATGTTTATAGCAAGTTCCAATATCAAACCTGTTCTTGAATGATCCATATATATGTCTTTTCGTGTTGACAAGGCCTCTGACATAAAATGAGAGACGGATTCAAACTTAGATTCCATGAAATTTACGTCAATGAAACAAAGAAGACTTAATAAAAACAAAGACATAATTATTACCTGTTGCAGCAATAGCTCGATGTTTTTCTTCCCCAGGTAGAGTATAATAACTTCGGCATCAAATTTCTGTATTTTTTCTATCACTCTGTGTGCCGGTTCAGTCAGTTCTTTATTTTTGTCGCGCCCAGAAAACTGAACTAAATTAATGATCAGCCGTAATTTCTGTGAAACAGTTAGAAAATGTCCAGCCTCGTGCACTCGACGCTCTAAACAATAACATACAGTAAGCATTAAAATCCACAAATTTCACACCTAACAGGGCAATAAGACCATTAAAAGACTCAACAGAAGGGGGAAAACAAATTTGTTTGCGGGCCTCAAATGCAAAGTTTTCGATGATTACTTTCAAATAAAGCTAAGTTATAGTTAGATCTCATTGTAAACACGCTTCGAATGTGTCAAAAGTACCCAGATGTTATTTGTATAACACTGAAAGGAGCTGAAGAATAACCATATTGAAGCCATGGAATTGACCAAATTTACCCTCATAAACAAGAACAATATTTTTCCACTCGTAGATTTTCAGTATGTCTAGTGTGGCATACGCATAATCTTTGTATCCTGCTGACATCTGGATTGTTTTTTCACATTGATCCAGGGGTCCATTGTTGCCATGGAGACGGATGAGAGGAATGCCGGTTATTGTAGAAAGAGCACAACCGGAAGCAGTTGCTGCACCTCCCTCGATAAGTGTGATGACGTTTGATGCTGAAATAAGTGTGGCAGAAAAGGAAGTTTGAATTAGTTGGCCTCATAACATCTCAAAAACTGAAAAAAAGGACTTGACCAAATATTGGGTCATCTTACCTTCACTAAATAGGTCTACAGCTTCGGAAATATTGAATTCTTTTAAAACCAGTGAAACATTGTTCGAGCCAAAGAAATAACTGGCGACTGAGTTTACTATATGAAACTCCTCAGAATGTCCATTAATAAACCCTGTTTAAAATTGGGCAAGAAGAGAATTATTTAGGCGAGCGTGATAACTGTCATAATGATGACAACAACATTGATAATAATAATGATGATGATGATCATATTGAGGATAATAAAAGCAAATTATGGATTTTATCTCTTGGCTTTCGAATTTCTTTATGACCAAGTAATATCGAGTTTTATGTTGAAAGTTTTTTCCTTTGTTTCCATGAAGATCAATGAAGGAGGTAAATATAAAAAGTTCATTTATCCAGGATTCTTGCATTATGGTAATCGTCAATATGCATCTGGCTCTGATTCGGTAATCACTCAATATGCATGATTTCTTGAAACTTACCAGAAGTCACGATCCTATTGGCCGCGGCGATCCTCTCTAGGATTGATACAAGTAAAAATAATGTGGAGAAAAGGGCTTGCGTCTTCATCCTGTCATGAAAATTTAAAATAATAATGATAATAATAATAATAATAATGATGATGATGATGATAATTTAAAAAAATCAATTCACATGTAACTGAATAATTGATCGAATAATGTGGAAAAGAAGAAATTTTGATTAGATTGAAGAAATCACATTTTTCAAGAGCGAATTGAAACAAGGACCGAAAGGATATTTAAAGGTAAAATGTTGTCAAAGAGATTTCCGGAAAAGGAAGTCTGGAAACCAACAAACCGACAAACAGTGCACCTTGAGGTGCATGCCTGAGATGTTGAAAAAAGAATGAGAGAAAAATTCCACCATATTAAGGTAATATAATATTATTTTCATTTGGTTCAAAAACTTTAAAAACATGTCTATTCCTTCCAAAGGTTACATATAGCAAATCATGCTTATAATTTTAGTTTAAAATTGGTTTATTTTTTTACTTTTTAGATACATTTTATGTTTTGCTCCGCTGGGGGGATTCTTTACGCAAATACTTCGATACGACGCTATATTTCCCTTAATTTAAAATTTTTCATTTGTCTGTTTTATGTGATATATATTTTCCACAGTTTTGAGCAGACTATTCTCAACTTATTCTATCGATTATAAAGGACTTTTTGCTACGCAAAACTGGTGCATACGAATGCGATGAATACATTTTGCGCTTTGTGAAAGAATATATAAATGATAATTTTCATCATAGATTTGATAAAAAAAAAATGCTAAGCAATACACAAAAATAACGGCTAAAGCCTTACTTAACTCACCGTCAGAACTTACTTCAGGTTAAAATTCGAGCAATTTTTTTTTGTCGCACTTTCAATACTTAGACCGATCAATTTGTTGCCGAGCTCAATGGCGAGATCCAGTGAATCCCATGAACCTATTTATATCTTCTACAGCGGCTTTCCCAAAAAATACAAGAATGATATTTTTCTTAGTCTCACGACCTTATCCCTATAATGAATAAAAAGTCTTACTGTCAAAAATGAATTATCAAACCTGTTATGATTATTACCACAGCTTTAAATAGATGAATCATGAGCAGTCTCATTTCAAAGATACGAAGGATGTCTGCTGAGTTGCAAATTGAAGTAATATAGAGAACTTAGGATGTTAGACACCTGCCAAAGGAGTTAATAAGGAGCGCAGTTGGATACCGAACAGCTTTCATCCCTGAGATAATTGAATCTAAAATTTAATATTTCGTTCTTTGTTACGAGCGTATGTCCAAATTATTTCCCCTTTTTACCATAATTCTCCTTCTTGGTACGATTGTTAAACTTCGTGACTTTTTCTCAGGCGTTTCTCTCACTTAGAGCTCAATTAAAATGTATTTTTTTAGTAAAGCCACGAGATCTGCCTCATGAAAGTTGGTTTACACCTATAGTGCAGGGCTAATAACGAAAGAAGAATCCAAAATAGAGCTAATTTATGATGAAAACGGTAAAATAACTTATTAACTTTCTACATTGAAAACCAACCGTAGCAACAAACATCGCCGTTTAGTTTCATTTGCAAGCAGCAGCAGGTGGTATTTGATAAAGATTCTCTTAATTATTACAAAGTGTTATCAACTGAGTTGATTACGTAAATTGGCCACCGTAAAGAGTTTAAAAGCCGACGTATCAGACACACGAAACGTCAGCTTTCAAACTCTTTACGGTGGCCAACTGACGTTATTACCTCAGTTGATAAATAGAGCATACTACATGGGCACGCATAGATATGGAATTTCTTTTCGAGTTGAACACGAGAAGAGAAATTTCATTTCTACAAGCAACCATGTATTATTATTTTTGTCTATGATATAAATAAAACACCCTTAAGTGACAAGAAAAGCCGACTTCCTTAATGAATGAAAATATAAGAATCGATAATCGTACAGTGCGTTGGCGCTACGGCTCAAGATGGAAAAATGCGTTGAGTCATGAATACAGAAACAACAATGGGCGTAATTCTCAATTTACAAGATTCTCATTTATTGACTTTATTGACGAAGAAATCTTTCAGGTAAACGGCAAAATCGGCTTGTGGCAAATCTTCCGGTTATCAACTTTCGTTCTCAGCGGCGAGAAACGCCACTACCAAAGCCACTGAATGCGTAACTTTCGGCTTTTGGTTTTCGTATGTTGGTTTTCTTTCTCTGAGCAATACGGATGTTCTAGCAACGTTCTAGCCGCCATAATCCGAGGAAGTTCCGACAAATTACCTTGTATTGAGAATCGAGAAGGCTTTGCCGTTCATTCATTAACCTGACCACAGGTATCACCAATCAGCAGCTGATTGGTGATATCAAACACACATGAAAAAGTATCGTATTTTGTTGTGTTTGTTTTCTAAAGCTTTCCTGAATCATAATGTTTGAAATAGAAATTGAGCATGTCGAGCGAAAGTGTATATTTCGACTTCGTTTTTCGAATCTAGAAGACCACTCGGAAACATAAATATGATATTACATAAACAATTTAAATCTCACAATCTTATGGAGGGCTGGGAAACGCTAAGGTTTGTCAACAAAGAGGAAACTCACAGACCAGTGGTGTGAATTGAATAAACTAATTGCCAAACACGCCGAGCAAAACTAAGATTAATAATGGTAATAGGGCCGAGTGGAGTCCAATTCGGTCTGTAATCATACGAGTGATTAACAAAATCAGACGACCGCGAAGCGGGAGTCCGATTTGTGAATCACGAGTATGGTTACAGACTAAATTGGACGAAAGAAAATAGAGTTTCAAATGACCACGGAAAACAAACCGTCGTTGAGATGTAATTCGCTAAGTATGTTGGGTTGCAAAGTCGGAGGAACTCAGTTGCTGCGGACCGCACCATGCTCAACGAAAGGCTTTCAAGGACTCTCGAACTGTCTTTTACTGTTCTTTCTTTAATCACCTTACATTAAGTTCTTTTCACCCTGAGCTGGAAGACATGATTTCTGATCAAATAATGACTGAAAAAATCTCATAAACATTCTGTTATCTTCAACTAGCTTAAAAATTGAGGGATCAGAAAATGTGCAGGTCACAGGGAGAATACGGCAATCAATGAATGTGTGGAACTCTTGCTACTCTAAGTCAAGAAACAATGAAGTAACGAAATCATTTTACAGTGAATTGTTTTATTCTAAGATCATTTCTGAAAAGTGAATGTTTGCAACAGAGGCTGACGATTCAAGTATCCT